AAAATCCATTTGTTAAACACAGACGCATAAAGCAGATCTTAATTTTCTAAATTAATTAGCTTGAGACAAACATTGGAATTAGATACAAACATTGGAATGTATCATTAGATACAGCTGATACACATTTAAAACCATCAACATCTTACATTTTTGTATTTGTTGATGAAAAGCAAACTGATAAATGCATCAAGTGTTAACATCATGAAGAAAAATGAAACCTGATGATGCCAGTGCCAATGTCAAAACTCTCTGCAAAAATAATTTGCAATGTAGTGATTAATTTTGCAGAAATTTTGATATCTTATAAATTGTTAAAAACTTGATAGCTTTACTAAGAAAATAAAAACTAGTGTGAAGTGAAAAAATGACTTTATCTGGATACTTGACAAAAAGTTCACTACTGGCACAAGACACCCTACATAATATATTGATAAAACAAATACATTTTATAATTTAAAACAAACAATGCTACATTAACTGTGGTATAAGAAAAAAATACATTTCTGCCAGCACAGTTGTAGCATTTATTTGAATATTGTCCTTGTGGAAGAGGCAACAAAAATGTCAATTTTCATTTTCCTCCACATGATTTGAATTAATCTATATGATATATAAGTATTTCTGGTGCAATTTCATCTAAACAAATTATGAACAGAACAGGTAAAGCAATCTTTGAGATCCATGTCAAAGGTTCCTATTATATTATGCATGCTTAGAAAAGCTAGAATAGTTAAAAAGCTAATCCTGTATTAAAAATTATTGGCAGAAAGAAAATCAGATTCGATTCAGAAATGTGATTGAGAATCTTCTAAATATTTTCTTTTTGTGTTCTTGGTGTAACATGAGAAAGTGAAAATGATCAAGGTTTTTCTTGGGTTACACAATTTGTCAGCTTAACTGCTTTCTTAGACTAGAAATTTTCATAAAATCTAAAATCAGTTAGACTGGGAAAGGTGTTAAGGTTTGAAATTCAATAATTAAAGAAATGTGCTGTAATGATGTCACACATCATGGCAAGCCCAGATGTCACTGATATGTTTTGACAATCTAACTCTTCATTAATTTTGATAGCAAATTTTAGGAATTAGTTGCAGTAAGTTTGATCGAGAAGCAGTTTTTAAAATTTACACATACTATTCTAAACAAGATAAAAATATTACCACAACATTTTAAAGATTTAAAGATTTTCTGACCTTCAGTATGGTATCTAATGCCTACCACCCCACCCACCCCACCCAGACTTTAATTCTGTTCAGTTAATAATAGGCAGTTTCAGTCCTTAAAGGGTAGAAACAGGAACAAACAATGTCCACAATTAAGCCTGAACTTGAAACTACCATATATACTTACTTATAAGTCAAGTCAAATTGCACACAAAGAGATCCATATCTGCAGTAGCATAATTAGCCAACAGATAAGGGTCTTCGCAGTTTGTTGTACTGATTACTGCTAACAAACTGCACAGACCAAGATCTGTTGGCACATGATGTGATGGTAGATCATGGTCTGTGTGGTTTGCAATTGGTCTCATTTTATAAGCAAGTATATATGGCAGTTTCCTTTGAATGCCCAAGGTTTTGCAGGTAGGTCATGGTAGACTGGAGTTTGTGGAAGTTTGTCTAATGACAGATTTGTAGATGGTTAGAGCATCTGTTTGTAAGAGGACCATTTAAAAGTAAGGGCTAAATAATATGAAAGTTTTAACTGTTACCAGAAACCATGCAAGTATTTAGAAAAGAAAAATCAAACCTCTGCAACCCAAATAAAAGAACACAAAAATCCTTCTAGCTTTTTAGGTGAAGTCTTCTAGTCAGCTTGACTGCTAATTTTGCTATCTAAACCCTTTTCCAAAAATCTTTCATCTGCTTTGACAACCAATAAATCAATAAGCAAAAGTGAAACACATACTTGACAGTAGTCAATAAGTATGTCATCACAATTTACCATCAAAAGATGGGGTGGGTCCAGGATTTTTTCCCAAGAGGGTTTGATTTCAAGAATGGTGTTTTGTTTAGCTTGAAATGGGCAGCTTTGTTTTTCACTAAATGAGATAGTGTCATCACTCAAAAAGAGTTGGTGGATGGGTGGGCTTGACAAAACCACCCAGTTCTATCTGAATCTACCCATATAAACATTTATAATGTAAATTTTATTTTGATGAAAGTAACTGTCAACCTCAAAATAAACACAGTACATGATCGATTAGACATCAAAGTTGAATTGCAAACTGCACAGACCTAGATCTGCTGTTGCAACAAATCAAACAAAACAGACCCTGTTTTGCTAGTGCATTATGCAATTGCAGGTCAGAGTCTATATTGTTGGCAGTTGGACTCAACTTATAGTCAGGTATATATGGTACCTTATTACTGTAAACATAAAAGCAGTTTCAAAGTCCTATATTATCAATAGAAAACAAGATAGCATCTATGCCTACCCTCCCCACTTTGATAACAATGGCATTTATTTCGATTGAAAGGACTGGCAAAACTGTTGTTGTTGTAGGGTTTAACGACATTTTTCAGCACAAGATAGGCTATACATGGCGGCCAGAATTAATGGTGGAGGAAGAACCCTGGACACCACCACACCCACACCCCCGGGACGAACCACCGACCCATGAGAAGCTACTGGAAGGCTTTCTCATTTACCCATGTTAGCTGAGTCTGGACTCAACTCATACAGACAGAGGTGAGATGGTAGTGATCTGTAACGGTCAGTGCTTTAGACCACTGGACCACTAGGGTGTTGGTTGCTTGATTGCAAATCAGGTTCATCTAGGGTGATGGTTGCTTGATTGCAATGCAGTGGTTAATTGAAGGTGTTGGTTGGTTGATTTTAATATAAGGTTTAGACAGACAGATGGACAGACATTATAGTAAAGAAAATTGGTTTATATAATCTAATCTATGCTTGGACATTATGGCAGATATAAATGCCAAATGATCAAGCTTCCACCAAGGTGGGTTAGAAATAAACAATGTCCTCTTTAAAACTCAGTACAACATCCTTTTTTGGAAGAAATAAGAATTTGTGACACTCTGGCATCACAAAGAACAAGACAATAGAACAATACATTTAGCTTGCTTCTGAAGGATCCAAAGACTATAGAAAATATAACAATGAGCTTTACAATACAAATCATTAGCATATTGGTAATATGAGCCTACTCTGTAACCATGGTTACATCTGAACATAGGAGAGTTACACATTATATTACAGCAGTTGCTGAATCAGCTGAATGAATGTTACATTAGTTTTTTTTTCCATTCTGTTCAACTAGTATATACTGTATAATATATACATATCAATGTTCCAATGTAAATCAAACTTGGATCAATGTTCCAATGTAATGTAACCCAAACAATGTTCATGTTTATACATATCATTTCAACAAAGATCCTACAAAACATTTTTGAGTTTTTGAAACTGGATTAATTATTGATAAAACATCATTTTCATTACCATAAATGAGTCCAGGATTGTGTCCGATACTAAAATTACAAATTGTAAATTTATCACAGGATGTCCAGTGAAAGACATCTGTTCAAATATATTTTTAACTGTTCACATATGGGCCTGGCCTATAATTTAAGAATTTTTCATGTCACAAAAATTTTATAATCAAAATTTTAGTCAATCAAAGCAAATGTTGTTAAAATTGGCATAAATGTTTAATAGGAAGACGGCATTCAAAGCTGCCAAATTTAGGCAATTATATACAATTATAGACATATATTGATGTGAATAAAAATTTATGCACCTGTAAACCTCATATTGACTGATGAAAAATGACAGTCAACATGAGGGGCCCAGAGTGGCCAGTGGTCTAAAATGTTCACTCTTACAGATCACTGCCATCTCATCATTGTCTGCATGGGTTCTAGTCATGGGCTCAGCCAATGTGGGTATGTGAGAAAACTTGCTGGTAGCTTCTTGTGGGTTAGTGGTTCTTTCCAGGGTTTTCCAGGGTTATTCCTCCTCTATTAAAATTGGCCACTATGTATAGCCTATCTTGTGCTGAAAATTGGCATTAAACCCTATAACAATAACAACAACAACAACAACAACAACAACAACAACAACAGTCAATATTACTGGTTTAATGGTTCATAAAATTATATATCTAACTAAAGAAGGGCCTAACATAATTTTATTGAAAACATAAAATTTAAGTTAGAACTGAATAAATTCCATTTACAATTGTATAATGCTAGGAACATAATGTTATGATGTCATGTGAAAATAAATGAGGTCATGACCAATCAGAAATCACATCATGTGACCTTGTGCCATCTAATAAATAATCATCTCATACATGAAATATACAACTATAGGCATTTGCTGAGGTAAATGCAAATCCTTTACCCATCAAACCTTATATTTACTCCAACACTGCATTGGTCAAAATTGGTTTTGTTACATTATTTAGCTAAATTAATTGCAATTTAATTTGTTTTAGAAATGGTATTTCAACTGCATGACAGCTAAAAAGTTTTTGTTGTGATTTCATGTAAAAGTTAATGACATCATGACCATGGGACAAAAAACAAATGACTCTGCAACATTATATATTTATTGCCTATGTTACCCCCATAACATAAAGATAAAGACTGGTTCAAGAAAGGTAAGTCATGTTCCATGAGGGTAAAGTTCAAGTGAAACACAACTTATTGAAGAACTAATCCTCATATCTCTGCCAAACAAGGAAATATTTTTAATATAATTATTATACCAAATAAAACAGGACAGAGAAACATGATTGTTTGAGGGAGGAACAATCACTTATTCAAGCATAATAATACAAGGGAGATACAATGTTTTGTTCCCAGACATTATATTTTGTTCACCAATCATTGACACTGTTATGTTTATAAGCTGTAGTAATAAGAAATATCACACTGTACATGTCACCTTTAGTTAATGGAAAACTGTCTCTTGCAAGAATCATTCCATTACCACCAATATAATTAGTGCAAAAATTGTTTCAGTTTTGAACCGCTCTGGTAGCTTAGTAGTTTGAGCATCTGCCTCGGATGCAGGAGGTCATAGGTGCAAACCCCACCCAAGTCATATCAAAGACTTATAAATATAGTACTAACAGCTGCCTCACTTGGCGCTCAACATTGAGAGGTTAGTGTTAGGACTGGTTGGCCTGGTGTTGGGATAATGCTGCTTAATGGGATATTATGTTACATGTCTGTGGCATGATGACCCAGTGCTAAACATCACTACAAACTGCTACACTGTAGACATCATAGGGATATGTCTGAAAAATTGTTAAAACTATGTTAACACACACACACACATCTCTTATGAGAATCATTCCATTACCCACCAATTAGTGACAGAACAACTTCAAAGTTTTGAGTTTGTGTTGAAAGCTTCTTTAATTCAAGGCCTACCATACCATCATTAACTGCTATCTAAACAGGAGTTTATGATATGAATTTTTGTACGTTAAAGTTCCAAACATCACAGAGAAAATGGGATTAAAAATTCCTTTATTGATGTTCTTACCAGTAATCCATTCAAATTTCACATGTTTGCTAGATCACAAGTTGGATCATACTTGAGCACCTGTAACCAAACAGGATTTCCTCAGGTAAGTGCATATGTTAACAATTCAGGTTTCATCCTACTGAAAAAACTGGTGTCAATTGGGAATGATATTGACATATTTAAGATAGGAGGCACATGTTTTCTTGACACTGTAAATGTATCTTGTCCAAAAATTAAGTCTGCTGATTGAGTGTACTTATAATGCACATGTGGAATGTCAAAATTTATTCTAAACAAACCAAAAGAACAAAAATCCTTGTATTTAAAATTCTGTCACCATCAAAATTAAAATAATTTGAGAATAAATATTTACACAAGCTATGCATATGATGAAGTAAGATGTCTGTGTTAAGGGGAAAATATTTTGACAAAAAGAGAAAATAGATAAAAAAGAAAATATAATCAGATTTTGGGGACCAGGCAAACTGAATAGTCTAAGGCACTTGTCTTTCTACATTGACAAATATTACCTCTTATTATATGCTCATTTTTTTCTCTGTTAACTTTGCATTGTCAGAATCATTCAATATTCCCTAATATTGAACACCTTCATATTGCACTCCTCATGCTTGGAGCACATGAGTGCGTGGTACACTATGAAGTTAAAAGGTCGGTGGGAGGAGCTATATGTGCATGAATACTATTATTGTGTATGGAAGGAATCTATGATTGTAAACTTTATTATCTTAATAATACAATAATTATTTTATTATGAAATATATTTGGTTGTGAATTTTATTATTAAGTCTTTGGTAATGAAACAAAAATGAGCATATAATAAAAAGGTTACTGCATTTGAATGGATAAATATGAACTCCCATACAAATGCAGTAACCTATAACATCTGAATGAGTTTGAAGCTTGGCTATGTGAGAAAGCTTGCCAGTAGCTTCCATGGGTTGGTGGGTCTTCCTCCACCAAATATACTGGCTGCCATTTATAGGCTATCGTGTTCTTAAAAATGTCATTTACCTACCCCTAAAATAAGAATTAAACCTTCACAAACTTTCATTTGACATGAGCACTCAGTGACATGTAAAGTCCTCCATACATGTATATATAAGCTCTGCAGCAAGGAGGCCATACTCAACCTATCATTAAAGCAAAATTGTTTTATATCTTTTAAAGGCAAAGAAAAAGACAGCCTCACTTGCACCAACAGTTAACAGCCAAAAAATGTTCTCAGGTTTTGTTTTGTGAAATGAATTAGATGTAAACATTTCATGGCTTGCTGAATAGCCAACTACATAGGTTTTATTACATGGCTTGCTGAATAGCCAATTACAGTGTACATAGGATTTACTACAGACTTGCTGAATAGCCAAATACATGTTTATTACACTGCTTGCTGAATAGCCAAATACAGTGTACAGAGGTTTTATCACACAGCTTGCTGAATAGAAAAATACAGTGTACATAGGTTTTATTGCAGGCTTGCTGAATAACCAAATACATAGGTTTTATTACACGGCTTGCTGAATAGCCAAATACAGTGTACACACGTTTTATAACACAGCTTGTTGAATAACCAAATAGTGTAGATAGGTTTTATGATAGGCATGCTGAATAGCCAAATACATAGTTTTTATTACAGGTTTGCTGAATAGCCAAATACAGTGTACATAGTTTTATTACAGGCTTGCTGAATAACCAAATACAGTATACATAGGTTTTATTAGAAGCTTACTGAATAGCCAAATACATAGGTTTTATTACAGGTTTGCTGAATAGCCAAATACAGTATACATAGATTTTATTACAGGCTTGCTGCATATTCCTCTACTCTCAACAGCAAAAAATATGTATAAACTAGTATGAAAGAATTTTTTTAAAATTAAATATAAATGGAAACTACATTTGGAAACATAATATATTCACATTGCAAACATAACACTTTTTGTCAAATAATAACAACTGTCAAAATGCAACATTATCATACAGAATATTTCATTTTTTAGTCTTTGTGCTCTGTTCAGAACAGACTTCAGAATAATGCACAATGTCTAAGTCAGATCTCTCTGCAAACTGCACAGACATAGATCTGCCTTCAAAATGTACTGGCTGATTTAAGTCTATGCAATTTGTTAAAAGCAATTAGTAAAACAAGCCTGAAAGAATCTGCTCTTCTGATGCATTATGGGATGGCAGATCAAGGTCAATCTTGTTTGCAATTAGAATAGACTTATAAACAAAATTGTATATGGCATGTAATTTATACTTAGCATATTAAATATCTATAATTAGTCTAATCTATATCAGATGTATTACCTGATACCTTAAAAGGCTTATATTTTCAGGTAGAGACAGGTCTTAATTTTGCATCCTTGTTTGATGTTCTTTTCAATGCATAAAATATCAAGAAAGACAACAATATGAAAGTAAACAATTTATATGCAAAATGACACCTCACTGATAAACAAGGTGTCTCCTTGCATGATTGAGACTTTTCTATTTGGCCAAAAATGTCAGCCAAACTAAAATTTCCATGAAGCTAATTTAATGGAGGAAGTTCTTGTTAAGTAAATATATTTTTGGGCAAAGGAATGAGAAAATATAACTGAATGCTGTTCCAGAAGCACCATGTTTATGAGTCTAAATTGAACTCTACAATGGAAATCATATTAATGTGGTTGTTTGTCCCCAAACTCATTGATGCATATTGATTAAAAAAATGTGAAAAATGGATTATTTTAAACAAAACTAGAGTAAATCCTTCAAACAGGAATTTGCAGAATGCAATGTTTTGCCTGCTCTGATCCCTGCTGGTGACAATTAACTAACATACCACAATTATAGCATAACTACTAGAGATTGAACCATATGTCATTGTAACCTTGTTTTGCCTGTTGTAACCAGCAATCTTCATAATGAATATTCTGAGCAAATTTCATGACTATATATGATTATGTCAACAGAGACAGAGTAAAATAAAAAAAATTTAAACAATTACATCCAAGCATGGACAATGACAATGCCATTAAAAAAGTGATATTAATGGCTTGCCTATACATTGCAGATGAGACAATAAATTATTTGGCTAGCCAGACATTTAAATAATCAGAATTCAGATTAAGAAGGTTTCATTGTATAAAGGTTTCAGTGTATCATAGCTTTGTACAAACCTACAGTGACCTATTCAAGGTGAGTTTGAACTTATTTTCTGATCTGCTCATCTTCTCAGGTTTCAATGTCAAATCCGATTTTCCAGTAGTGCAACAGAAACCACTTTGCCAACTCCTGAATGGACACCACAGTAATAAGCCTGACCTGATGCCATGTCAAAGTGTCAGGAACAAATTTTTCAAGTGGATAGAGACTTCTCCAGTTTCCACCAAATACACTCACTTCTAGATGGATAAACAATGAAAAAAGAACTATTATCACCATAACAACCTGTAAGACCAGCATGGCTTAATCATCATGGACAAAATATATATAGCATGCTGGGATCTAATAAATCAGAAACCAATTCAACATTAATAATTTTTCACTCCTATGTCTAGCCTATGTGTAAATTTTCAATTTTCACATTTTGTTTTTAGAAAAGAGAAGAAAAAACAGAACCAGGAATGAACAACCATTATACCATTTTAGATGAAGATTTAGACATTTATTTTTTGCAGTAAGAAAGTGGCCCTAAAACAAGGGTGGCCTTTATATGCATGGATCAAACAGATGATATGTAATAATTACATATAAACATAAATACAACTAATTTTTGAAATATTTAACATTTAATATATACATATAAAAATAACATCATATTTATGGACTGAAAGTGATAAAACTTGTATCAAAGTTATCAAAATAATAATCAATATTCATCAAATGTGTTGCCAAACCATTAGAAAATAAAATCAATGTAAAATCATCTGACTGCAATCAACATTCTTCATACATTCCATCTCCACACTATTGTATAATATACAGTAACACCTGTTTTGAGAGACCACTGCTATGAGAGACCACCTGTTTTGAGAGACCATGATCTCCATGCACAGATTTATTGATTATATAGTGTTATGACCTGTGGTGAGAGAGCACCTGTGTTGAGAGACTATTTTGTTTTGGCTGAGGGGGTGGTCTTTCAAGACAGGTTCTACTGTATGACCTATAATATTCATTGAAATCTTTCAAATTCCTCAGCAGTGGAATTTTCCTTCTTTTGTTCAGCTTAATTGTTTCATTTTTTTAAACTGAAATTATGCCAACATTTTGCAACAATTTACACATTCATTATCAAAAATAACACTATAAAACTAATGTTAAGCTCTTAAACAAATGCTGTGTTTGCAAAGGAAGTGAAATTGTTATCAACTGCTTATAATCTGGTTCCATTTTTACTTGATGGTGGTGAGAATTCACATTGACTTGTGTTGAACAATGCTGTGCTTCTCAGCTGTTAGCTTTGTCATCTTGATAATTATTGGTGGTAATAACTGCCAGTAATTTTCAAGGTGACAAAATCTGACATTAAGGAACACTCAGCAGTTACAGGGATTATCAGATTA